ATATTTTCTTTATTTTTAATAAACAGAAAAAATATAGTAAAGTTAATGCACCAATTACGGCGCGTTAATAAAAAAAATAACAATTATTACTATTATATTTAATATAATTGTAAAATGATTTTAAAAAATTATAATCTTTTTTTAATACAATTACTAATAAATATAATTAAATAATTATTAATTTAATTATTTGCGAAATCAAATTTTTTTTTCCCCTCGCCGTAATTAAAACATTCTTAAGATTTGACTCTAATTACGGTGGGTAAAGTATCTTCAAAATACACATAATTTTTGTCACCGTAATTGATACACCGAAACTGATACAATATCGCGCCGTAATAGAAAATTACGATATTAGTTTTAATTTTTCATATTTTGTTTAAATAATCGATTTTTATAAAGTTAAATTTTTTTTTTAAATATCTAAATAAAGCTTTTAATTTAATAAGTCTTAAATTACCTTTATACTCTAAATCTGAATTAGTAAAAATGTTTACTAATTTGAATTAGTAACTTTTTGCCTCTGAATTAGTAAAATTTTACCAATTATTAGTAACTTTTACTAACAATTAGTAAAATTTAACTATAATTCTAAAGCAAAAAGTGAGTCATTAATTTAAATTAGTAAATATTTTTATTAATTCAGATTTAGAGAGTACAATAGAAATGTCGAATTTTCTATTTCAAAAATGTTTTTTTTTTTTACTCAAATCGCACCGTAATTAGTGCATTTACACGTAATAAAAATGAAAAGTTTTCGATTCTGGAATCGTGTTCAACTGAAAAAATTCGCTCGGAAACATCATGTTTCATTTTATTTGCAGAAAAAAGTGGAAATTTGCAAAATAGTGATATTATTATTTTTATTGTTATTTATAGTATTTTGATTAAAATTAACAAAATATTGGAAAATATTTGTAGCTATTGATTTGTAATTGGATTACATGTCAAATCGTGGCATTGTTGACAAATGGCGAATGTGGAGACGACGCGAACTCCAGCATCGTTATCATTGACGCATGTGAGAGGGAGTACATGTAACATAACGTAATTATTAATGCATTGCTGTCACACGCTTCGCTATCCAAATATGTCCCCTCTTCAACATAAACTGACGCGATTTTATGCATATATATATATATATATATATATATATATATATATATATATATATATATATATAGACAAAAAATGTATACAACTAAATATTAATGTCTAGTTAGGATTCAGTCATCCATTATTTATGCTAAAATTTATAAAAATAATTTCGAATATTAATAATCATAGAATATATGAAAAATTAATATTGATAGAAAATTAGAGGAAACTAATTCATTTTTGTAACCTCAAAATCAATAAAAAATATACAAAATTCAAGAAAGAATTTTTATTCTGTATGATCTGAAATCATTCAGTATTCGTATCATTTCATGTATATGTAAGCGTATATATATGTACGAAGAATGAAAAATATTTCAAGAGGTAACGGATTTTTTAAAATTGAAAGAGTGAAAGAGAGAACATATCAAAAGCTGCGAAGAATCCAAGGCTTTTAAAGTTTCAATTTTAGACTGTGCAATGGATAAGTAAATATATATATATATATGTAAAACGTGTATTTTCATGCAGAGGAAATAATATGCAATCTGATATTTTTGTATCAATTTTTGAATATTATATAGTTATAATAATAATAATAATAATAATTTCGGTATGCCGTTGGCGAACCAGGAACGTCCTTCGGAAAGGAAGAAGGAGCATAACAAGAATGGATTCTGATAAATTGAGAATTAGTTTTTAAGATAGTGAGATTTTTGGAACATTAGAAGAAAGTGAATTTTAGAATAAAGATGCACCTGCAAAAAGGAAGAAAAAATAGTTAGAAGGACGGGCGCTAAGGGAACGTAGGTACTAAAGTCACAAGGTCATACTAAGGAGGAAGAGACGATTGACGATTGTCATTTGAGTCGCACAAGGATAATCGTATACTGACATTTTCGGTAAGCTACGCAAAGAAATCAGTTTGGATATAAGCCATATGAGAGTGGTACCAGCTAGAGTTAAGAAAAGTTTAGACATTCTCATTAAAATCGGAGACGAATTCAACAAGAGAATTTTTCAATTTGTTCACAAATGTTCGTATGCTGGCGTTTTGGGTAAGCTTTGGAATGACCTTGATTCGGAGATCAGTCACACGAGAATTACATCTGTTAGAGCTACAGAAAGTGGAGACATCCTGATCAAAATCGGAGACGACTCTAAAACAAAATTGACGATTCGTTCAAAGATGTCCGTATGCTGATGTTTTGGGTAAGATTTGCAAAGACGTTAATTCAGAGATCAGCCACACGAGTGTAGTACCTGCTACAGCTAAGGAAAGTTGAAACATTCTAATCAAAATCGGAGACGATTCCAACAACAGAATTGACGATTAGTTAAGAGATGTTCGTATGCTGATGTTTTGGGTAAGCTTCGAAAAGACGTTAATTCGGAGATCAGCCATAAGAAAGTGGTACTTGCTAGAGCTACAACATTTTGTTCAAAATCGGAGACAACTCCAATAGAGGAATTAACGATTGGTTCAAAGATGTTCATATGCAGACGTTTTGGTTAAGCCTTGCAAAGACGTTAATTCGGAGATCAGCCATAAGAAAGTGGTACCTGCTAGAGCTACAAAAATTGGAGACATTCTTATCAAAATTGGTAACTATTCCAACAACAGAATTGACAATTAGTTCAGAGATGTTCGTATCCTGATGTTTTGGGTAAGCTTCGAAAAGACGTTAATTCGGAGATCAGCCATAAAAAAGTGGTACCTGCTAGATCTACAAAAAGTGGAGAAATTCTGACCAAAATCGGAGAAGACTCCAATAACAAAATTAACGATTCGTTCAAAGATGTTGATATGCAGGCATTTTGGTTAATCTTCGCAAATACGTTAATTCGGAGATCAGCCATAAGAAAGTGGTACTTGCTAGAGCTACAGCATTTGGTTTAAAATCGGAGACAACTCCAATAGAGGAATTAACGATTTGTTCAGAGATGTTTATATGCAGACGTTTTGGGTAAGCCTTGCAAAGACGTTAATTCGGAGATCATCCATAAAAGAGTGGTACCTGCTAGAGCTACAAAAATTGGAGACATTCTTATCAAAATTGGTAACTATTCTAACAAAAGAATTTATAATTCGTTCAAAGATGTTCGTATGCTAATGTTTTGGGTAAGATTCGCAAAGACGTTAATTCGGAGATCAGCTCGGAGACAACTCCAATAAAAGAATTGACGATTTATTCAAAAATGTTCGTATGCTGGCGTTTTGGGTAAGCTTTGCAAAAACTTTAATTCGGAAATCAGCAATAAGAGAGAGTTACCTTCTAGAGTTACGAAAAAGGGAAACCTCCTGATTAAAATCGAAGACGACTCCAAAAAACAAAATTGAGGATTCGTTCAAAGATGTTAGTATGTTGACGTTTTGGGTAAGTTTCGTAAAGACGTTAATTCGGAGATCAGCCGTACCTGCTAGAACTACGGAAAGTGTTTCTATAAAAAATTTCTGTTTGTCTCTCCCTGATGTAACAAAAATAATAATGATAGTAAAAATATCTCATTCATGTTAATTCTTATTCGAACTTTACTAATTTAAACACAATTTTAATTTTCCAAATTGACAATCAATTATAAATCATTATTTTTCCTATCTACGATAATATTGAATAATTTTTGAAAGGGAAAAATTTTGAAATTGATGAAATATAAAAAACATTTTGTTCAGCGTAATTAACAAATGGCATCGCGTAATATATAGAATCAGATAAATTTTTTTTTTTTTTGCACTCTAAATATTGATTTTTTAAAAGTTACTTAATCAAGAAAGTAAAATTATTATTTTAAAAGCAAAATCAATCAATTTTCTCAATTAAATAGCAAATATATTGCGAACTAATAAAAAATACATTTGTTAATTAAATTTTTCCCTTTTATTGTAATAAAAAGTGTAATTAACAGGAGTAATTTATTATTGACATTATATGTCAATATTGTTTTAATAAATGGAAATGAGTTATACTTTTAAATATGAAAAACAATAAAAAATTATTATCATTATTATTAAAATTATTATTATTATTATTATTATCATTATTATTATTATTAATATTTGTATCGCAGGAGAAGTAGAGAAAACAAAATTATTAAAAAAAAACGAAATTTCAATTGATAAATAAATTTTCGATGGAAATTAGTAATATATATCTTTTTTTTTCATTTGAGAAAAAAGGTAATTTTTTTTCCTCTTTTTCTATAAAAAGAAAGAGGATCTGTGAAATTAGCAGAAACAGAAAATGTTCTTCAATTCGAGGTGAATTTATCTTGAACTCGTGCCTGCGACTTCGAGATCGCGCGCGCAACGAGGGAAAGTAAATCTGCATGGAGATTTGTTAAGAATTCTAACGAGGTCGCATTTCTATATAGCTATATATATATATATGTACTATTTAACTGGGAACGAGTCACGAGAGGGTGCTGGAAAAGAAAGAAGGAAAAAAAAGAGAAAATGAAAGAATGAGAAAAAAAAGAGGAAAAATTAGAAAGAGAGATAGAGAAAGTGCGGCGCATGTATGCGACTCATATAACTAAAAGTTTTGTGAACAGCAAAAAGTTAAAAGTACTGCAACACAAAGAGGGAGAGAGAAAGAGAGAGAGAGAGAGAAAGATAGTAGAAAGGAAACGTTTTAGGGGGACCTACTTTCGGGATTTTTCCCCCCCAAAAAAAAATCAACCACAAAGTGTCTAAAAAACGAGAACAAGGTTGCAAACATTTAACAAAGAAACCGCTTATCTCTTTAATCAATCAGAATTGCATTAAATTTTTTTTGAAAATTTCGGAAAAAAACGCTCTTTTATAATTTTTCCCTTCTCTATAATTCGTTATATAATTTATTATTAAATTTATTAAAAATAATAAAAGAGAATTTAAAATAATTAAAAAAAAAAAAACTCACCTCTTGAACTTTTCTGTGAACAATGATTTTGTGCCATTGATTATCGTCAAATCGAACCCTTGCCGGTTTGATGTGTAGGTCCAGCCTTCCATTTGCGAGGGTCATGCCAACGGCAGCTCCACCATCTTTTAATGAGACTGTCAAATAATCACCCCCTTCGCCTGTAAAATAACAATTCAATTTCGTATCACTCAGAAAGTAAAAAAAAAAAAATTGATTAAACTAATTATTCTTGTGAAAAAAGAATTTTTTTTTTTTTGGTAATTTTAATTAAACAATTTTTTTTTAATGAAATGTGTCGAGGAAATAAATAAATATATATATTTTTTTTTAATCACATTATAGTGCTGGTCAATTGGATTTTGGACGTCTTGGAAAATCGTGGCACGTAGATGTCGTTCATTATAACGCAATTTCCATTAAAGCTAACGGGCAGGTTTTAATACGACAGTAAAAATAAACCGGACCAGTTCGAAGTCTTAATCCCCCATGCTTTGAACTGCTCTATATTCTTGGGATAATTCCCCCGTCTCTCTCTCGATGTTGGGATAAAACTCGATAATTAATAATGTCACTTGTCTAATTAAGGTTAATACTCTTTTGAAAATCTACTTCGTTTTTGAGTGTATTTATAATAGTTGTGTATAAATAATGGTTTTAATAATTTAAAGCAAAAAATTAACGAGAAGAGCCTAATTACTAAATACTTTTATTAAAGAAGTAAAGACTCCTTTTACTTCAATAATAATAATAATAATTTAGCAGTGACGGTGGCAAGTTTGAAACCTCACATCCTCATCAAAATCGGAGACGACACCAATAAAGGAATTAACGATTTGTTTGAAGATGTTTGTATGCTGTCGTTTTGAGTAAGCTTCGCAAAGACGTTAATTCGGAGATCAGCCACACGAGTGTGGTACCTGCTAGAGCTAAGAAAAGTTGAAACATTCTGATCAAAATCGGAGACGACTCCAACAACAGAATTAACGATTAGTTCAGAGATGTTCGTATGCTGGCGTTTTGGGTAAGCTTTGCAAAAACTTTAATTCGGAGATCAGCCATAAGAAAGTGGTACTTGCTAGAGCTACAGCATTCTGTTAAAAATCGGAGACAACTCCAATAGAGGAATTAACGATTTGTTCAAAGATGTTCATAAGCAGACGTTTAGGGTAAGCCTTGCAAAAACGTTAATTCGGAGATCAGCCATAAAAGAGTGGTACCTGCTAGATCTACAAAAAGTGGAGAAATTCTAACCAAAATTGGAGAGGACTCCAACAATAGAATTGACGATTAGTTCAGAGATGTTCGTATGCTGATGTTTTGGGTAAGCTTTGAAAAGACGTTAATTCGGAAATCAGCTATAGGAGAGTGGTACCTGCTAGAGCTATAACAGCTTGGTCAAAATCGGAGACAACTCCAATAGAATAATTAACGATTTGTTTAAAGATGTTCGTATGCAGACGTTTTGGGTAAGCTTCGCAAAGACGTTAATTCGGAGATCAGCCACTCGAGTGTGGAACCTGTTAAAGCTACAACATCCTGATCAAAATCGGAGACAACTCCAATAGAGGAATTAACGATTTGTTCAAAGATGTTCATAAGCAGACGTTTTGGTTAATCCTCGCAAAAACGTTAATTCGGAGATCAGCCATAAGAAAGTGGTAACTGCTAAAGCTACAAAAATTGGAGACATTCTGATCAAAATTGGTAACTATTCTAACAAAAGAATTTACAATTCGTTGAAAGATGTTCGTATGCTGGCGTTTTGGATAATCCTGGCAAAGACGTTAATTCGGAGATCAGTTATAGGAGACCTAAACCTACGTAATTTAATTCCAGCGAATAATTCCCTAGGATGATGATTAGTCTAGCCAAAGAATGTGGTTTCTAGTAGATCGACCAAAACAAGAGGTCCAGGTATCTGGTTTTAATACACTGTAAAACAAAAGTTATTAATTGAATACTGACTTTAGGTACTAAATTGTCATTTAGTTCTTTTTTGATACCTAAAATCGGTACTATTTTACTACTTTCTTTTTACAAAGTAAAACTTGGCACCCAGAAATACTGCTCCACACAAAATCCAACAACATTGCTAATAATAACGATAATAACCATGAAAATGAAATTAAAAATAATAATTAAAAATCATAATAATAATGAAAGTAACAAGAATCTTTTTTAGAACGCCAGAGGGCAACTACAAGATATGATTACAAAATAAAAGTAAAATACCGCATATATATATATATATATATATATATATATATATCGAGTTAGTTACGTTCGTTAATTTTGTTGTTGAATCCGGGTGGAGTTGCTTTTTCCCGGGATGAGAAACCGCATACTAATTATTCCGCGGGGGTAGGTTAGAACCGTATAAAAGATGCAGACGGTGCTTTGGGCTTAATTGTCGGTGTGCTACCGGCGTGAATTCGTATGCAGCCTAGCGCAACATATAAATCGCTCTCTATGTGCGCAAAAAACCTTCTCCCACCTTCCATGACACTTGAAAAATTTAATATATAAATTAAATATAAATTCAAATTAAAATCTTTCAATTCTCAAAAATATAAAAGCAATTAAATTAAGAAGTAAATTGCTTTTATTTTTATTTAGTATACGCTGATATAATTCACAAAAGTTGATATTAATAAAAAGTTTTTAAAAATGGGAATAATTGTTCATCATTCGGGGAAGGGGAGATAAGAGAGAAAAATGGGTATTAAGATAAAAAAAAAAACAATTTAATGTAAAAGAATCTTAAAGGATCGTGACCACACAGTTTTATAAATACACAATGGACGCATAATGGTTTATCATGAGAATAAATGAGAAAGAGGGGAAGTGAGAACCAGTACTGCAATGGTAACAGGAAGTGGCAAAAGTAGGACAAGGTAGGTACGCGGCACTAATGCAGACCAAGTACAGCAATAAGTACTCGGCTTCTAAATATAGAGCCTGCTGCAGCTGCAATCCAGCAACTGCAGCAGTACAACCACTTTCTTGCTAGTAGTACCTTGATTATAATATGCGAGAGATTTTCATCCAATTAGGAAACGGCAAAACATAATACACGGTTATTGTCCTTTTAATATTATAAATATGCACTTTATCTATTTGCAAGGAATTTATTTGCGATTTTATTCGATCCTGATGGATTTACATTTTTTTAGGCTCCAAATATTTGGTTTTTTAAGGCTTAAGAGAAATTCCGCTTTCAAGAGGTAGGAAAAATATTTCTTTTTGTTATTTAATAAACGATCCAGTGTCACTTGAGAGAGGGATGAAGATCAATTTAGTATATATATATATATATATATATAAAATATATATTTGCAAAGTTTCAATTGGTCGAAAAGGGGTCGGCAAAGAGCAAAAGTTTCAAATTGGCTGTAATACTCTAAAGAATAGATGCTGCACAGCTGTTTAATATGCGACTATTGTCCAGAGGACTCCATTGTCTATCTACATTTCTCCGTTGGGCATCTAACGGATCCCAGCAAGTTACTCGATTAAATCTAACTGCTCTTAAACCAAGGGTTCTTCTCTTGATTCCAAACCCTCTTTCTCTCTCTCTCTCTCTCTCTCTCTCTTTGGCTTTCCCTCTTCATTCCTCACACCTTCAAACGTCTAGCGACGAAAGCCAACATGGCGCATTTCCATTAATATATCAAGACGATTGCCCGAGTATTATTGATTTATGCTCTTTTGTTCAATTTCCCCTTTTTAGTTGCTTTTTCTTCAATCGCTCTTATTCTCCCTTGCATTCGTGCCTTAAAATCCAAATGGAATACTTCAAAGTCTTTTCAAGTTTTCTAAGAATCCCTTATTCTCCCTCGTCGCTCCTACGGACATCCGTGTAACTAGAATTGGCTTCCAGTGGGGGGGACGAAGTGTGAGATTTCAATGCCATGGCACTAGTCATTGAACCTTATAGATTATATATTATTTTATCCCGAAGGTGTTACTTTTATGGCTCATGATACATAAAGTTTTTAATGAAAAATTTTTTGTTAATTAAACCCGTGTAGAAATTGATCTAGTTAAATCCTATTTACTATCTGGCCCTAATAAGGGTTGCCCCTCATTATAGCCTGATCGAGGAATTACCGGGACCTGACAGGGGCCCTAGACTACAAAAATCATTTTTAAAAAAAAGTAATAAATGAAGTCTTTGGTATTTCTTGTTTTTAATGACCACATTCAAGTAATAAAAATAAATGTCAAATTGTCAGTGAATGTCTTTCCTGAATGTTTAAAATAAAGAAGTGTTACAATAAAATGGCAAAGGAAAAAAAATACAAAAAGAGTGAGGAGATATCGATTTATAAAAGGAGTTAGAAATTTAATGCAAAACACTAAAGAAAATAAATAAATATTTTTAATTAAGATTTTCTAATAATTAATTTTCAGAAACTTCTATAATTTTTCTTTATCTAAATATCATGTTGCAAAGTTAAATTACACCAAAATTATCAATGCGGCTCATTACTATGACTGCAAAAAATTATTTTTTTTTAAAAAACATGTTTCTTGAAATAATTTCTCTTTAGGTTAATGATACCTTTTGAAATTTTGCAAAAAGTTTTATTTTTAAACGAAACAAAATTATTTAATTTTTAAATAAAATATTTCAAAAAGCTTTCATTATATTCCTGAAATTAATATTGCTTAAGTATTTAACATTTTTTAAATTACAAATTGTTGAAACTTTTTAATTTTCTTATTATTAAAAAAATAATTCTAATAAATAATTATATAAACATATAAAATTTTATTTTATTAAAATTTAATCGATATTTATTTATTTATTAAAATTTCGAATTTTTTTAATTATTCCAAATGTACTGATGAAAAAATTCAACTTGAGCGAAGACAACGTTCTATAGGTCTCCTCGAAATTGCGTTTAACAATGCAAAAGATTGGGAAGGAGGACGCAAGATGAGGATGAAGTTAGATTTTTAAAGTTTTTATTTCTGTTGTGTTACTTTTTTTCGTTTATATATTGTATCCTCTATAATCTCATTTTGTTTTAAAAAATAAAAATTTACTAACTAAAATAAAAGGGTTAATAATTTTATTCATTTCAGTATTTTATTTCGATTTTCAATAATTAATAGTAAAAATAATTTATATAAACAAAATTATTACAAAAGTAAATTGTATTAATTATAAATTATAAATAATAATTAACTACCTATTTTAATATTTTTATTATAATATTTTTATTCATAAACCAGATATATAATAAAAGAACTGATTTAAAACTTTACCAATTTTGAAATTAAAGTAAACAAACATTTCATTATATAAAATTTATATTTTTCAGTCTAAGGAATCAATAAAATTTCTATTATTAATTATAATTTGTGATTTAATTATCTTTATATGATTAAAATGGTCCCTCATAGCACCAGATATCCTAGGATATTCCAAAAACATACCTTGGATATCCTAAAAATACCCCAGGGATATCCTAAGGATACTTTAAGGATATCCGAAGTAGCGGCGGTTAGGATATCCTAGGGATATCCCAGGGATATCTAAGGATGTCCCTAGGATATCCCAGGGATATCTAAGGATGTCCCTAGGACGTCCCAGGGATATCCTAATCATTTCCCCGGATATTATTAGGATATCCTCAGGACGTCCTAAGGATATCACAAGGATATCCCTGGAATTTCCCAAGGATATCTTTAGAATATCCTCAGGATATCCAGGATATCCTTAGTATATTCCAAAGATATCCTACGTAATGGCGGTTTGGGTGTTCTGAGGATATCCTGGATATCCTATAGACATTTTCAGGATATACCACATTAGTTTAGGATATCCTCAGGATATCCTCCTTTTGTTGTGAGGTGCGTTTCATTTAATCATTTCCCTAACTAGGGCCATATTTCGCCTAATCTGGTCCTGATGTGCAACATGTTTCAATTTCTACACGGGAAGTTTTCTAGACATATTTTTGGGTAATAAATAATTAGAAAAAAAAATTCATTTATTAAGAAATTATTCTTGAAAAATAAATTTTTTCCCGTTACAATTGATGTACCATCCTTAATAAAAAAAAAAAAAATAATAATAAAATTTATGTGGAAAAAATTTAATTCTAAAAATTATCTACATTGAGAAATAAATATTCTTTATTTAAAAAAGATTCACTGCAAAATGGTACCAGAAGTAAATGCTCTTTATCTAACAATGAAAGTACATACTCAACACCATTCTACTTATATAGATTGAAAATATTTATCTACTGCTGAAAGAGATTCAATAATAAATGATTATTTCCAATGTAAAAGGAAAAATACTCTCAATTGAATAAGAAAATTTTTTTTTCATTGATATTTTGTTAAACATCGTTGTAAATAAAAAAAAAAATTCCAACATTTTACAGTCAATAAACAAACAAATTTAAAAATAAATAAAAAAAAACTAAATAAATAAGAAAATAAATATAAAATTATAATAAGAATTTAAATTAAAAATTAAATAAAAATTAAAATTAATTTAAAATTGAAATTAAGGGAATAATTATGAAAATTTAAATTAATAGTAATAAAAATGATGCATGGAAAAACGTTTTTTTTTAAATTTTAGAAAAAAAGACTTACCAGAATAAAATAAGAGGCCAATGGGTTGTCTTGTTTTAAATTGCAGACTAATCGATTCTTGTGTACTAAGAACAGGATCACCTTTACTCAAGTCTATCGTTAAGTATTCTGTCCCTCTAAACGACGCTTCCGAGGGTGCTTTGTCTGAAACAAAAAAGTGTAAGAAAAGAATTATATTAATTTTTTTTTTTTTTTTTTTTTTGTTTGTTTTAAACAACTAAAAAAAAGTGAAACAAAAAAAATTCACACCTATATATGTATATTTGCACAGAAAAATGACTATTATAAAGAAGAATTGTGAACTCTTGTTTGCAAAAATTTCACAAATAATAAAAATTTTGCTACTGACAACAAAAATGTTCACTTAAATTTTATTAATATGTTTAATATTTAATCTATATAATTAAACAATAATTAGAAATTATTAATTTTCGTTTAGTATAATTAATTACTATGTGGTATTTAATTAAAAAATTTTTTTTTATTTATAACAATTATTTTTATTTTTAAAAATGTTTTCTATTTTTTCAAACTTTTCACATTCTAATAATAATAATAGTAATAATAATAATAGTAATAATAGTAATAATAGTAATAATAATAATAATAATAATAATAAAAATAATAAAAAAAATATTTTCTAATTTTAAAATTTTGAAATTTTTTAACAAACCTTTTTTACTTTTTTGTTTGTTTTGCTTTTATTTCTTTACTGTAGTGAAAATTTTTGTTATATTTATAACGGTGAACATAGCCAGCGTGCATTTAAAATTTTTAACAGTTACTTTTTCAGATATTTATAAATAAAACGTTGTTTATTGAAAAAATTTGCAAAATTATTTAAATCTAAATTTTTTTTTTTTTCCTTTTCCTTATTGCCTTTTGTAATTTTAATTTAAATATTGTAAAAAAGAACATTCGCTTTTAAAATTATACCAAAAAAATTAATTTCAAAAAAAAACAATTTTAATTCTACAATATCTTTAGTCAGACAAAAATAAAATAGAAATTATTAACAGAATTTCGTTTTATTGAAAAAAAAAAAAAAAATCAACAACTCACTCTGAAAAAAGTAAGCCATGTGATAGAAAAGTAAAGCTCTAATGATGAAAAAGACGGGAGATGACAGATTCAATTGAAATTTTCAAAAAAAAATAAAATAAATGAAAGCTCCCTCGATTACTTTCTTTTTGTACATTATAATGTAATATATATATATATATATATATATATATATATATATATATATATATATATATATATATAATATAAAGACGATACAAGAACATCAATATAAGGGAAAAAAGGGGGGAAGACACAATATGCGGATCATGATTGTGAAGAAAAATGACGTTATAATATTGTTGAAAAGAAATATGAAATATCTCGGTAACTATATTTATTGTTAAATATCATAATATATCCTAAAATTTTCTAATTTTTTGGTATATATTTCGTCTTTCAAAATATCCGTGACCCGATGAAATTTCTCTCTCTCTCCCTCACTTTTCTGGATCCACCCCCCCCCTCCCCTCATTATTTCCCATCTTTCCATTGTTATCAGGCGACCAAACAAAAGTCCGCGCCTCTCCAACCCTACACCCTCCTCCCCTCCACCACCCTTTTCCTCTTTCTGTCGGAACAAAAAGACCATAAGACAAGCTTAATGGCTTTGGCATAAAGCCAACTCTCGTGGCGGACTTGAATGCGACCGGTTGTCGATTGAAATGTTCATTGCTTCCGCAAATCATCCCCCGAACCCTGAACCGTTCATCTCACGACTAGATCATCGCTCTATTATGTCTTATCCGAACTACATTTCTCCCTCTTACCCCACTGTTCCATCTACCACACATTTGACAACAGTTGATTTAATGTTAGAAAAAAAGTAACATACATATATTATGGGATATTTTTGGGTAATAAATAATTTTTTTTTTTTTTTTTTAAATCAAAAACTAAAAATTATTTTCAATGTCAAAGTGGAATAAAACAGCACCAGCAGAGGAAAAAAGATTTTCAATCCCTTCATTGGCAAAAGAAATTCAAAGTGTCCAAAATGTACAGAAATTTTTTTTTTTCCTAAAAATTGCTATTCAGGGGTTTTCAAAGTGGCTGATTACAAATTTGATGTTAGTTTTTCAAAATTTAAAATGGCGGATCCAACACAGGTGGAAAAGTTCCCGGTAGTGACTACCGGTAGTCATTACCAATCCCGCTACCGGAATATTCACTACCGGTAGTCACGACCGGTAATTTTTCTTAGATTACCGGTAGCCACTACCGGTAACTTTTTCCGGGACTACCGGTAGTCAGTACCGGTAATTTTTCTTAGATTACCGGTAGCCACTACCAATAATTTTTCCGGAACTACCGGTAGTCACTACCGGTAATTCTTCCGGTACTACCGTTAATTCTTCCGGTACTACCGGTAGTTGGTACCGGTAATTTTTCTGGGATTACCGGTAGTCACTACCGGTAATTTTTCCTAGATTACCGGTAGTTACTAACGGTAATTTTTCTGGTACTACCGGTAGTCACTACTGGTAATTCTTCTGGTACTACCGGTAATTTTTCCGGGATTACCGGTAGTCACTACCGGTAATTCTTCCGGTACTACCGTTAATTCTTCCGGTACTACCGGTAGTTAGTACCGGTAATTTTTCCGGGATTACCGGTAGTCACTACCAGCAATTTTTCCTAGATTACCGGTAGTTACTACCGGAAATTTTTCTGGTACTACCGGTAGTCACTACTGGTAATTTTTCCTAGATTACCGGTAGCCATTACTCGTAATTTTTCCGGGACTACCGGTAGTTACTACAGGTAATTCTTCCGGTACTACCAATAGTCACTACCGGTAATTTTTCCGGGACTACCGGTAGTCACTACCGGTAAATTTTCCGGAACTACCGGTAGTCACTAAAGGTAATTCTTCCGGTACTACCGGTAGTAACTACCGGTAATTTTTCCGGGATTACCTGTAGTCACTACCGGTAATTATTCATAGATTACCGGTAGCCACTACCGGTAATTTTTCCGGGATTACCGGTAGTCACTACCGGTAATTCTTCCGGTACTACCGTTAATTCTTCCGGTACTACCGGTAGTTAGTACCGGTAATTTTTCCGGGATTACAGGTAGTCACTACCGGTAATTTTTCCTAGATTACCGGTAGTTACTACCGGAAATTTTTCTGGTACTACCGGTAGTCACTACTGGTAATTCTTCTGGTACTACCGGTAATTTTTCCGCGATTACCGGTAGTCACTACTGGTAATTTTACAGGTAATTCTTCCGGTACTACCAGTAGTCACTACCGGTAATTTTTCCGGGACTACCGGTAGTCACTACCGGTAAATTTTCCGGAACTACCGGTAGTCACTAACGGTAATTCTTCCGGTACTACCGGTAGTAACTACCGGTAATTTTTCCGGGATTACCTGTAGTCACTACCGGTAATTTTTCATAGATTACCGGTAGCCACTACCGGTAATTTTTCCGGGACTACCGGTAGTCACTACCGGTAGTCATTACCGTTAATTTTTCTGGGAATTAGAATGAAAATTTATTACCAAATAACAAATTTTGATTGTAATTCCCGGAAAAATTACCGGTAGTGTCTACCAGTTGTGGCTATCGGTAGTCTAGGAAAAATTACCGGTAATGACTACCGGTAGTGAATATTCCGGTATTGACTACCGGGAACTTGTCCACCTGGGATTATGACTAATCAGCCACCCAAAGAACCCTAAAGATACCTATTTGCCATTTTGAATTTTAAAAAACTAACTCTAAAAATCTCCGAATGGGAATTTTGAAGCAAATCCCAACGAAGAAGTTAAATAAGTCAAAAAAAAAAAACAAAAAAACAAAATATAAAATGTCGAAAAATTCATCATCTTTATAATAATCAAAATATGAATAATTTCTGTGAAAATATTTCTCCATTGCTACGAAGGGTTTTTTGGGGACGCTACTTGAAATTCTGATTGACTTAACACCATTCCTTTTTGGATAATGTACTTAAGTCGTTAAACGGACACATCTAGGATCTCTCGACAGTGACTTGGCTGCTTCTCGGGTTAACGAAGGTCGCACAATTGTTATACAAAGCATCAAGAGTGTATATATGTGTCAGTGTATACTACATTACCCCCATGTCGGTAAGCTTGACAAGCTTTCCATTTTCAAAAGTTAAACATGTTCGCAAAACTCTCCAAATGAAAGTTAACTAACTGGAAACTAAATTGTAAGCTAAAAACTCATTTCGCATATGCGGAGTCCGGTTTTCTTCTCTCTACCATCCCCAACAAAAAAAACTAAATCTGTAATAAATCTTTACAATAAATAGAAATCATCAAAAACTCTCGTAATTCATTCATGAAACACGTTTATTCATTGGTAAACTATTTTCTTCACTGTAAAACGAGAGGTATTAATTTATTACCAACTTTACGTACTAAATACGCCTTTTGGTTTTATATTTTTAGTATCTAAAATCGGTACTATTTTAGTACCTTCTTTTTATCAGTGTTCAATTTTCTTTTATAATTTCAAATAATAATTAAATACATAAAATTAAAAAAAAAGTAGGCAAATATATTGTTTAAAAAAAGTAGTTAAATTTGAACTCCCTGGTGGATGATATTAAAGTCCCACCCTTTTGTAGTTAAAGCAAAGGGAGTTAATGCCTTACAAGTTAATTTTATGCCTAGGGAGTTAGTTTTAAGAAGTTAATTTAATTATTAACTCACTTTTTAAGTTGATTTTTAATTCCTAACAACCGGTGCCATTAACTCGCTAATTTTTTTTTTTTTAATAAATAAATTTATTTCTCGAACTACTACCAGCCCTGACCCACTAAAATCCGTAACCCTTTGGAGCCCTTTATCTTTGGAATACACAAAAGAATTAAGCAAAAAAAAAAAAAAGTTAACATGTAAATACACTTTTCCTTATAAGCTTCTAATATCGTAAATGCATTGAAAAATACAAACATGTGCAATTTTGTTTTGAAAATATTGAATGGAATAATATAAAAAAGGATATTTCATAAAATAGTCGTCTTGATATGTCTTTTTATCCCCCTATACTGAGAAAAAAAGCAAGGCAATACTGTGCGGGGATCTGCTTCACCGAGG